CACACACACACACACACACACACACACACACACACACACATACACACACACACACACACACACACACACACACACACGCGCATCAAGTCCCAAACTGAATCAGAGCTTCTGATAAAAAAATAAAATTAAAAAAAAAAAGTCTGCCATGTGCGCGTAACCACAAGTGTGCCATGTAGCGCAGTCAGGGAACCTTCTACGACGAAGACGCCCGTCACACACACACAACGCACAACGGCGGCGGCGAGTTCTGGTCCGTTTCAAACCTCTCCCGTTGCCCGCATCCATGTGGTTTGAATCTGTGTTATGCGGTCATTGCTGGGAAAAGTCGCCAACGTTTTTTTTTTGTTTTTTTTTTTCCCCTCGACGATACAAGGGCAAGCGCTTTGTTGACATGCTGGGGGATTCTAATTTGCCACTTTTTTATTTTGTCTGGGCACGAATGTCAAATTGTGTCATCATATTTGTGAATATTTGTAACACTGAACTGAAGTTGTGGAAAATAGTGGTGAGCAAATGTTGGCGGGTGTCCAATTTGTGTTCAAGGGATGAGGCGAAGAAATCTTTTAATACAGGTTAAAGTCGAGAAAAATTGCAGTTTCGGCGCAGGAAGCAAATTCATTCGGCGAAAAACTGAAAGTCAAAAAACGTTTGTTGCTTTTTTTGTGGGCCGTCTAAATGAATGCGGTGGGCCGGATTTGGCCCCTGAGCCTTGAGTTAGACACCGCGTTCACATCGTGGGCGCATCGGGGAGCGAAAAAAAGAATGACCCCCTCCAAGCTCCAACATGAAATTTCGTGATCATGTTAAAGATGAATTAAGGAAGTTGTGCTTTTTAAACGTCATGTTTGAATTTTGCTTTTTTGTGTGTGCGTGCGGGGGGTATCAAATTTGAGGCGTGCAAAATGGATTTGTTCCTTTTATTTTGGCAAAAAATATGTAGCACAGTTGCAAGTTATTGACATTTTTAAAGAAAAGCTCGAGCTTTTTTTTTAATTTATTTTAACTAAATTGATTCTTCTTTGCTTGAGTAGTTGGTTATCAGGGATCTAACTGGCTCCTGGTTTACTTTCAATTTGGTGCTAAAAATGTCTCCAGAATTGTTTCCATGTGGCCCATGAAAGCAAATGCTTCTTATGAAATTGAATTTTTTTTCATTTTCACAGAAAAATTGACCCAGAATTTCAAAATGTTCTTGACTTCTTTTTTTTAAATAAATCCTGTATTTACATCACTTAGTATTTTCCATGAGTCAATTTTCCATTGACTTCAGATCCAACGGAAATTTCGTGATCATGTTAAAGATGAATTAAGGAAATTGTGCTTTTTAAACGTCCTGTTGAATTTTGCTTTTTTTGTTGGGTCGGGGGGTCAAATTTGAGGCGTTCTAAATGGATTTGTTCCTTTTATTTTGGCAAAATATATGTAGCACAGTTGCAAGTTATTGACAGTTTTAAAGAAAAGCTCAAGCTTTTTTAAAATTTATTTTAACTAAATTGATTCTTCTTTTTTGCTTGAGTAGTTGGTTTACTTTCAATTTGGTTCCTAAAAATGTCTCCACCAAAGCAAATGCTTCATATGAAATAGATTTTTTTTTTCATTTTGACAGAAAAATCGACCCAGAATTTCAAAATGTTTCATTTTCACAGAAAAATTGACCCAGAATTTCAAAATGTTCTTGACTTCTTTTTTTTAAATAAATCCTGTATTTACATCACTTAGTATTTTCCATGAGTCAATTTTCCATTGACTTCAGATCCAACGAACCTATTTGTAAAAAAGTTTTAGAACACCCCAAATTGTCATTTTTTTCTTTTTCTAATCCATGTAAAGCAGTTCAAGTCCAATGAATCGCTTGAATGATACGACAGTTAGTGCTAGAGGTTAATTAAAAAATATATGTACTAAAAACGGAAAAACGATGGAGAAACTTTTCAACATTTTATACAAAAGGGCGCAGTGTCCGACCCCATTGGGCTCGTTTCGGTTCAACTGGACAGAAACGACACGTCTGTTCCATTTTTTTTTTCATTTTGACAGAAAAATCGACCCAGAATTTCAAAATGTTCTTGACTTTTTTTTAAATAAATCCCGTATTTACATCACTTAGTATTTTCCATGACATCTGACTTCAAATCTAACAAACCTATTTGTAAAAAAGTTTTAGAACACCCCAAATTGTCATTTTTTTCCTTTTCTAATGCATATAAAGCAGTTGAAGTCCAATGAATCGCTTGAATGATACGACAGTTAGTGCTAGAAGTTAATTAAAAAATACATATACTAACAATGTAGAAACTTTTCAACATTTTATTCAAAAGGGCGCAGTGTCCGACCCCATTGGGCTCATTTCGGTTAAACTGGACAGAAATGACACGTCTGTTCCGAAACTTTTGATGGGTTGTGTTTAATCTGAATGAAATGCAGAGCCTATCACGGAACACGATGAGGTAATTGAACAAGTCGTAATAGTAGACCGTAGCACAATTTCAATTTGGGGGCCCCCTTTCATCCATATTTACTCTGTTATTTAAAAAAAAAATCCTGATGCGTTTTGAGGGGCCCCCATGAAGTGGCCGGCTCCTCATTTCACTGATTTTCAATTTCTGAGGGAGAAACAAAAAACGAGCATCTTCTCCCTCCCGCGGCCTGCCAATCAAAGCAGGCGCTCCGAGTCAGCGGTGCAAAGTGTTGCGCGCGCAAACGAAACGAGACGGCGAAGCGCGCAGCGAGTCGGGCAGACGCAGCTTACCTGCAGGAGCCAGTGGCACGTCTCGCCGATGAAAGGGAAGCCCATGGAGCCCTTGGGCATGGGCAGCTTGCACTTCTTGTCCCGCGTGGCGGTCCAGCGCAGCTGCCACAGCTGCTGTGACACGACGAGCAGCAGAGCCACGCACAGGGCGCACGCCGCCAGCGTGGCCAGAGCAGACAGCAGGTCGAAGGTGTCGAAGAGCATGCTGGGGCCGGGGGTGGGGTGGGGGTGGGGGGGTCGCGACGAGCTCCTAGCAGCCGGACCACCTCATGCCGCTCGCATTAAGGTGAAGATGATGAGGAGGATGACGAGCGCGAGGAGGAGGAGGAGGAGGATGCTTCGGCTGCTGCGTCTGTGGGCGCGCGCGTGTGGGCGCACTGTGCGTGTGTGCGTCAGTCAAATGAGTGTTTATATAGCGCGCAGGCAGCGGCCAAGGTCTCCCCCCTCCCCGCCCCTCTGCTCCACCTCCTTCGGCTCCTGGAGGACCCCCACCTCACCCACACACCCCTCTCAGGAGGAGGAGGGAGAAGAGGAGCGCGCCCGTCGTGTCAACTGTTGAACTAGTCACCTGTGCGCCGGAAGTACGCCAATCTCACGTCAACTTTCCAAAAGTTGCTCTCTGGGCACCCGGTTGCGTCAAGTGGCGAGGTTTGAGTTCAATCGAGCGGCTTTTGTTGGCCGACCCAACAATCGAACAACTTTTGTTCTGCGCAAGTTGACTTGACGAGGCTCAATCTTGTGTGACGTAACGAGAGCCACCCCGTAAATGTGCGCACCGCGTGCACGGAGTGTTGAGCATCGGATTTGTGCGTCTTTGAGTTTGTGCCACGCGCATCTCTCGCTCCGCTCCTGCTCGTTGTTGAGACGAAAGCGCAATGTCGCCGCCTGGTGGCAGCCAAGGACACGACAGCGTGCCAAACCACATCGATTTATTTAGCTCTAAAATATTATTAACCCTCATATTATGTTGAAAAAAAATCACATTGATTATGTTGTGGGTCATTTTGACCCGTACTGTAAAAATCCACACAAAATAGTCAAAAAACAGGTTACACCAGTAACAACTTTAACTGCGATGATGTAAACATTTAGAAAAGAGACACACAACAGATTTTTTATCCCAACAGTATATTTAAGAACTGTTTAGTTGAATGTTTTCCCTGTTATGTTTCTTTTTTTCCATTTAAGTTTTCTGAGATTTTCAGTGTTTTATCTACAAAGTATTGCACTGGCAGTTGTATGTGTGCTGTCAGATTGTCAAGTCCCCCTTTGGTGGCGTTGTCGTCCAGGATCATTTGTGGCTTCATGTCTTCTCTTGTGCTCAGAGATGCATCTGTGTGCATTGTGCTCATTACAAGAACATTTTTATTTTCTTTGGGCAGTTTGAAACAACTGCTGCTTTTTCAGTGAAAACAAATACTGAGGAATGCAGGGGTCTGCCCTGCATCTTCAGAATTTCACCGGGAATTTCTGTCTTATTTCTTATGACTGTTGCCAACATAGTCAGCTTTCTCTCCTGAACTTCATCTCCAAGGCCGTATATTGTAAAGAAGTTATGACTTTGCAGTCCTTCACTCATCTTCAGCACCACACGCATCATCTGAATCTTCTCAGATGCTCCTCCAAGTACCTTTCCAGTATGCACTTGCATATTCCATGCAAAACTAGATTTTGCATCACAGGCTGCCCACATTTTGATGCCATACTTGCCAGAAAGATCCTCTGTCTCTGAAATATCTTCCTCTGCATCACTATCCCCGTTCGAACTCTGTGATGAAGCTTCTTCAGCTGTAAATTTTCTGGAGCTCAATTTTGGTATGTTGGTCAAAGAAATGACATGAGAAGAGTGACGAGTCAAATGAGAGAAAGTTCCTGCTCTACACATACCTGGGTCTCTGGCAGTCACTGAGCAGTCAAAACTAAGTACTGTTCATCAATTTGACATGTTTCTTTTGGATCTGAAAAGCTGCTTGCCCACACTAAAGTGCCTGGGTCAGAATGACCCCCAACATCATATTTGTATTCAAACTGTGCACAGACATCCCACTACACATCAGAGTGTCCAGATTTTACACACCAGTTCATGACCCGAGATGAGGAAAAGTCAATAAATTTCATGAAGAAAAAGAAAGGATATCCAGTGCTTTGGTCAACGCAAAAACTGAAATGGGTCAAATTGACCCTTAACATAATATAAGGGTTAAGGGACTTTTTTAAAAAACGAGCTATCCATAGCCTAATGTTAGCAATATAAAATCTGATGATAATAATTTCAATGAGAATGATTTATTTATAAGCATGAAAATCATATTTTCATAATCAATTTAAAAACATGTGATCAAATAAAATTAAGTAAGCATCTATTGAACCAAGCGACTTGCCAACAGCCTTTACCCATGTCGAGTATTATTGACAATTAATCCGTACTTTTCTTTTTGACCCATTCTTCAAAAATGACACAAAACAACAACACACGCTTAAGCAGCAATGAGCTCAGTGGTTCCAACACCAATCATCATCAAAAATTTAGTCATGAGAACCCTTTTCTAATGAAAAGTACTCTGACTTACTTTACTCTTTTTATTAAAATCGGTATCATGCCTAAACCGGGTTACGGCAATATCTTATTATCACTTTGTATAATAACTGATATAATTTTTATTGTAGAAATCGAATGTAAATTAATATCAAGAATTGAATGAAAGAATGTGTGACATTGAGGTTCTTTGTTATTATCAAATATTAAGAATTTTTATGTATAAAGAAATGCAACAAATATGAATTGTAGTCACATTGTTCTCTATCAACATATTAAAATTAAATGAAAGGAAATCTTTTGATGGAATCCATTTAAAATAAAAAAAAAACTAAAATTTGGCAAAAATATTTATATTAAAATAATGAAACACTGTGTAAAAATTCCAAGCATCTTTTACCATTGAAAATTAAAAAAAGTTTTTTTTTATTTCAGGTACATAGAATTTTTAAAGGAAGAAATTATTTACCTCATAATTAGTGTTATTAATTTTATTCATGAAAATTAAATGATTTTATACAGATTTTTTTCAAAAACATACTTTCAATGAGAATATTCAATAATTTCTTTTGAGAAATGTAAAGTTTCAATTATTAACTGCTGTATCTTTATAAACTAAAATAAATTTTTTTTTCATGAAATGACTTAAATTCATAGAATTTATTTTTAATTACGTTTTGATTTAAAGTATTTATTATTTGAAAAAATCTATAATTTAATCTTTTTACATTG